GGATCCAGGCTCGGAGCTGTCAGCAGAGAGCCCGATGTGGGGGCTTGAACCCACAGACTGTGAGATCATGACCTGAACTGAAGTTGGACGCTTAACCAACTGAGCCACCCAGGTGCCCCAAATATGGCTTTTGATTCTTTTTTAGCCAACTTTATATTTTGAGAAATAGCCTTTCAGAAAAGGGCAAGAATAGTGCAATGGACACCTGTTTACCCTTCACATGAATCACCACGTGCTATTATTTCCCCGTTTGGTTTTCTTCTCTCCCTACAGTTTCCTCTTGATGAATCCTGTACATACTTAATTTTGTGTATATATCAAAATTATCCATTCTCTTATTATGAGTATTTAGTTTCTTTAACCTTTTCTTTTTTTCCCAATTTAATTTTGTTCACCAAGCATCCATGTTTTAAGCACTGCTCATAGAGGATCTCATTTTTTTTTAACGTTTTTTATTATTTATTTTTGAGACAGAGAGAGACAGAGCATGAACAGGGGAGGGGCAGAGAGAGAGGGAGACACAGAATCGGAAACAGGCTCCAGGTTCTGAGCTGTCAGCACAGAGCCCGACGCGGGGCTCGAACTCACGGACCATGAGATCATGACCTGAGCCGAAGTCGGACTTAACCGACTGAGCCACCCAGGCGCCCCGAGGATCTCATTTTTAAAACTGTAATCTATGGCGGAGGGGGGTGCCTGGTGGCTCAGTCACCTAAGCATCCAACTTCAACATAGGTCGTGAACTCACAGTTTGTGAGTTTGAGACCCGTGCCAACCTCTGTGCTGACAGCTCAGAGCCTGGAGCCTGCTTCGGATTCTGTGTCTCCCTCTCTCTCTGCCCCTCCCACACTCACATTCTATCTCTCAAAAATAAACAAACTTAAAAAAAAAAAACAAACCTGTAATCTATGGGGTAGACGTTATAGAAGAAAGGATTAAAGCTTAGAGAATTTCAGTAACCCGTCAAAGGGCAAATAGCTGAGAAGTGCTGGAACTAAGATTTTAATGCAGGTCTCTCAGACTTGAAACTGTGATCTAAGTCATTTCCTAGAATCTAGGCCTGTCTACCATCTTAGGTGAGAACTCCTCTAAGAAACCTTCCTGAATTTTCTCTCTCTCCTTTTCCTCTGCTCTTAGCACCCCATCTCCAGAGATGGGTCGAGAGGTATGATGTCTTTCCTTGTCTTCCCACCTCGTTAGGCTGTGAGAACCTTTGGGCTGATGTCTGTGTGTCAGTGAGCTATTGTCCCCAGTTTCTAGAACATGGTAGCTGCTCATAAATATTTATTGGATAAGGAAATGAATGGTTGAAAGTGTCTTAATGCACATTACTAAATTGCTCTACATAAATCTTGGACCAGTTTAATTTTATTGGCAAGGTTTCCGGTAACTCACTGGACACTCACCAGCATTGAGACTTTGTGCTTTAGCAGGCTGCCCTCGTGGTTGGACCATCCACACTACCCACACGATTGTACACGTTTCTGTATGAGGAAGATGTAGGTATATTCCAGTTTTCCAGTTTATTAAATGAATAGTTGATTTTCACAAAATCTGTCAGTTGTTTTTATAGTAAAATGCATATTCACTGAAGAAAATCTGTTGAGAGACAGAAAAAGAACAAAGAGTGTTAAAAATTCCACCATTTTATAACATTTTGTTAAGGTTTATTTATTTTGATAGAGGGGGAGGGAGAGGGGCAGAGAAAGAGGCAGAGAGAGAATCCAAAGCAGGCTCCACACTGTCAGCCTGGAGCCCAAGATGGGGCTCGATCCCAGGAACCATGGGATCATGACCTGAGCTGAGATCAAGAGTTGGACACCCAACCGACTGAGCCACCCAGGTGCCCCTCTATAACTTCTTTTAATTAAAAAACTTGTAATGCTTTCCCATCTATTTTTAAAATAATTTTTTACTGTTTATTATTTTTGAGAGAGAGACAGAGACAGAGAGAGCATGAGTGGGGAAGGGGCAGAGAGAGAGAGAGGGAGACACAGAATCCCAAGCAGGCTCCAGGCTCTGAGCTGTCAGCACAGAGTCCAACATGGGGCTTGAACCCGGGAAACCATGAGATCATGACCTGAGCCAAAATCAGATGCCCAACCAAGTGAGCCACCCAGGCGCCCCTTGCCTTTCCATCTTTAAAAACTAATCATATGCTATATCTTTCTTTCTTAAAATAATATGTACTATGAATATTTTTGTATATAATAATCGTTTGAAAACCAGATTCGAAAGCTAAATAGTATTACATATCAATGGAAAAACATATTTAGTGTGCAAAATATTTTCTGTGATCATAAATGTAGCCATAGTGAACAGTTTGGGACATAAATCGTTGTGTGCAACCCTAGTTACTTGGTTTTTTAAATGAAAAGATTTCCTGGGGCTCCTGGGTGGCTCAGTCAGTTGAGCATCTGGCTCTTGATTTTGGCTCAGGTCATGATCTCACGTTTTGTGGGATCATGCCCCGAATTGGGCTTCCCACTGACAGCATAGGGCCTGCTTAGGTTTCTCCCTCCCTCTCTCTGCCCCTCCCCTGCTCGTGCTCTCTCTCTGTCTCTCTCTGTCTCAAAATGAATAAAATGAACTTAAAAAAATAAATGAAAATATTTCAAACATGCGGAAAAGTTCAGATATTAATATAACAAACACCCAGAGATCTATGTGGGTATTTATAACTTCACTTATAGGGTAGGGATTCCTTCTACATATAATGTGGCTAGAAAGAAATGCGTATTTACAATCGGAGATGTTTCTGTCTTGGTATCCCCCAGTTTATGTCGAATGGATGTTAGATATGCCAGTTTGTGCAAATGTATTTCAACCTGTCTCAGATCGATTGTATTTATGCAGTCATTTTCTTTGATTCCTTTCTAGACACTTATTGAAAACAATTTCCCTTGACTGACACTTCAAGAGCTGTCACAGCTGTACGCACAGCTGTGGGCTTTAGTTTTAACTAGAAACTCATCATTCATGCTTCCTTGAACACAGCTGGATGTGTTCTTGCTTCCTGGCCGGTACCACTGTTATACAACTGTTTATTTGAGTATATATTGATGAATACAAACTGCGTGAAATCATTATGAATTATAGGATGTAATTTTTATTGTCTTGTGCTATTTTGAGGATTATATATTGCTTTTATATTCACTAATTTAAAAAAAATTAATGTTTATTTTTGAGAGAGAGAGAGAGAGAGAGAGAGAGAGAGAGAATGAGTGGGGGAGGGGCAGAGAGGGAGGGAGACACAGAACCCCAAGCAGGCTCCAGGCTCTGAGCTGTCAGCACAGACCTGATGCAGGGCTTGAATTCACAAGTCAGGAGATCATGACTTGAACCAAAGATGGATGCTTAGCAATCTGAGCAACCCAGGGGCCCCTACATTGACTAATTTTAACCGAGGAAGAAGCGTAAGTCATCATGGTAGACAGTTGCTGGCTTATTCGTAGGATCCACTGCTTCTTTGATCTGTAAGTTACATCCTCTGCTCTGTAGTCTCCATTCCAATACTGACCTTGTTTATTATGCTACTTGAATTTCTGTGTAAAACACTATAGAAGGAAAGGAAGAGTACCTAAGCAGCCCCCCAACACTGAAAATGATCATCACAGCCCTTTGCTAAAGACCGTTGTTTCCAAAGAATTCAAAAAAACAATTAACAATGTTAATATGTTTTCCCCTGTTTATTCAGTAGCAGGAAGATGTACTAACCTTGCAACTCATTAGATTAGCTGATGAAATATTTTGGTTTTCCCCCGTCGCTTATTGCTGTTGCTTTTGATTTCGTTTCTTGTTTACTTTAACTTACATTTTGAATTTCATGTCTTAATTATTTAGGTTAGGTGTGGATTGCCCTGCTTAATCTGTAATGGCAGTGACATCAAAGGGTAAGGGACAGATGGAGGAGTTTCAGTGGGATTTTTAGCAACTACATCTGAAAATTTACTTATTTATTTTTATTTTTATTTTCTACGCTTAGGTGTAGTGTACCCCAGAAAAAAGGGGGGACACAGTTTTCTTCATAGATCAAAAGCAGCTACAAGCAAATGAAAACCTTTAAAAATGTTGCTTCCCAGGGGTACCTGGGTGGCTCAGTCGGTTAAGCGTCCGACTTCAGCCGAGGTCATGATCTCATGGTTCATGAGTCCGAGCCCAGCGTCGGGCTCTGTGCTGACAGCTCAGAGCCTGGAGCCTGCTTCTTCGGATTCTGTCTCCCTTTCTCTCTGCCACTCCCCCGCTCGCACGCACATGCTCTCTCACTCTCAAAAATAAACATTAAAAAAAGATTTAAGGGGTGCCTGGGTGGTGCAGTCTGACTTCGGCTCAGGTCATGATCTCACGGTTTGTGGGTTCAAGCCCTGTGTTGGGCTCTGTGCTGACAGCTTGGAGCCTAGAGCCTGCTGCAGATTCTGTGTCTCCCTCTCTCTCTGCCTCTCTCTCTCTCTCTCTCTCAAAAATAAATACCAAAAAAAATTTTTTTAATTTGTTGCTTCCAATCCTTTTTCCCTTGAGTTATGTGCAAAGAAATCTGTGGCTTAGGCTGTGTTTGGTAGTTGCACGCTTTCAAGTGCTTGTGCTAGATCGAAGGACAAACCCACTTGGGCATTTCCCTCCTTCTCACCTTCCTTCTGAGAGAGTCCCATGCACTCCTGAGCTAAGAGGCTGTGTGATGGCAACATCCTTCCATTGCTGTACACCCTAAGATCCCTGGAGGACGAGGGGCTGCTGAGCACCTAACCTTCTTCACAGGAGTCCAGGGTAAAAGAAGAACCTTATCTAGGGGCCACGTTCAGTAAACCATGAGCAAACACTGGTCTTTTGACCCTTACATGTAATACTTAATAACAGTGGTCTCTGTCTCGAACTACTGTTTTACTTTATGCCGACGACTCTCTCAGAGACGAGAGTTCCAGAGCGGTGCTTTTGGAAATTCCAAACAAACAGGCTCTTATACCAATGATACGGAACATTTTGTTTTTTTCTTTTCTTCCCAGGATTCATTCCTGTCTGTAGCCTTGGAGTGGCTCAGGTGGGCAGGATGAACTTTGGAAAGGATGTCAGCACCTTGAAATATTTCACCATCTGTGGCTTACAAGAGGGTTACGAACCGTTTGCTGTGAACACAAACAGGGATATTACCATGTGGCTAAGCAAGAGGCTTCCTCAGTTTCTCCAGGTCCCTTCAAACCATGAGCATATCGAGGTTTGCTTTTTCTTTAAAAATTCATACCGTTGCCAAAAGCCAGGGGTGGACTGTCTTTACACTTGGGAATTCCCACTTGGACAATTATTGCCACTTACTTAGAAAGGTGGCCCTACTGTGTTACACAGTAATGGAGTCTGAGCACAGCATGAGGCTCTGATTATAGGTACTTTATGAGCACCTGATTAGACTGATTAACAATAATTAATTCTGTTTTTATATAAGCAACACCAGCGGCTCACTCTGAATGAATGTAATTTTAACATGAATTTTCCAAACTATCTTTTGAGTTAGAAACAACAGATGAACATGGGGGAAGGGAAGGAAAAATAAGATAAAAACGGAGAGGGAGGCAAACCATAGAGACTCTTTTTTATGAAAAATTTTTTGTTTTAATATTTATTTTTGAGCAGAGAGAGAGTGAGTGAGCGCATGAATGAGGGAGGTGCAGAGAGAGACAGAGACACAGAATCCAAAGCAGGCTCCAGGTTCTGACCTCTGAGCACAGAGCCTGACTCGGGGCTCAAACCGACAAGCCATGAGATCATGACCTGAGCTGAAGTCGGATGCTTAACCGACTAAGCCACCCAAGCACTCCAAACCATAAGAGACTCTTAAATAAAGAGAACAGACTGAGGGTTGTTGGAGGGGCAATGGGTGGGGGGATGGGCTAAATAGTGATGGGCATTAAGGAGGGCATCTGCTGGGATGAGCAGTGGGTGTCATATGTAAGTGATGAATCACTGAATTCTATTCCTGAAATCATTATTACAATACATGTTAACTAAATTGAATTAAAAAGAAAAAAAGGCAGAGCTATGAGTCTATCTGGAACACAGTACTCCCTGTGTTTAATCTCATCATTTACAAAATTATGCCAAGTGTGGGCCGTGTTTGGGGTTTTAAAGACGTGATGTGTGTTAGCAATCTTTAGCATCAGGAGGTTGACTGTGTTGATTCGAATTTGAACTATCACTTCTTCATTCGCTAGGTGACCAGAATAGACGGCACCATCGACAGTTCTCCGTGTTTAAAAGTCACCCAGAAGTCCTTTGGCGCTCAGAACAGCACTGCCGACATCATGTTCTATCGCCTGAGCATGCCAATCGAGTGTGCCGAGGTTTTCTCCAAGACGGTGGCAGGCGGGCTCCCAGGCGCCGGCCTCTTTGGGCCCAAGAATGATCTGGAGGATTACGATGCAGATTCTGACTTTGAGGTTCTAATGAAGACAGCTCATGGCCATCTGGTGCCAGACCGTGTTGACAAAGACAAGGAAGCCACAAAACCAGAGTTTAATAACCACAAAGACTATGCTCAGGAAAAGCCCTCTCGTCTGAAACAAAGGTCATTGATACATGGAACATAATTTCAAATATGCAGTTATTTTGTGGGGAGGGGTACAGAGTGAGGGATTTCCCAGGGTCCATTTGTCCTTCCCTCTCCTTCTCCTTTACGTATAAAGGATTGGACAGGCGACAGTAACGCAACCTGTTTGTCATCGAGTTTGTCACCACAGACATAATCTATCCCAGAAGTTACTTATTTAAGGCACTTTTTTTATTGTGGTGAGAAACACCTAACAAAATGTACCATTTAAACCGTTTTTTAAGTGTATGGTTGTGTAGTGTTAAGCATGTTCACATAGTCATGAAACAGGTCTTCGGAACTTTCTCAGCTTGCAAAATTGAAACTCTCTACCCATTAGACAACTCTCCTTTTCCACCTCCCCCTAGCGTCTTGTAATCCCCATTCTCCTTTTTATTTCTATGAATTTGACCACTTTATAAATGTGGATTCATACTGTGTTTTTCTCTTCTGTGTGGGATTGGCTTAGCTCAGCCTAATGTCCTCAAGGTTCGTCCACGTCACTGCGCGTGTCAGAATTTCCTGCCTTTGTGAGGCTGAGTAATACCCCACTCTGTACGTACATGTTTTGCTTATCCATCTGTCCGTTGATGCATATTTGGGTTGATTCTTCCTCTTAGCTATTGTGAATAGTGCCGATGGGAACTGCACGTGCACATGTATTTTTGAGGCCCTGCTTTAAATTACTTTTGATACATACCCAGAAGTGTGGTTGCTGCTAGTTCTGTGTTTAAGTTTGTGAGGAACCTTCATGCTGTTTCCCACAGCAGCTGCGCCATTTTACATTCCCACCAACACTGCACGAGGGTTCAATTTCTCCACATTCTCATCAACACTTGTTACTTTCTGTCTTTTTGATGATGGCCCTCCTAATGGCTGTGAATTAGTGTGTCTTCTTGCGGTTTTGATTTGCATTTTCCTGATGTTCAGTGATCTTGAACATCTTTTCATATACTTCTAGGCCATTTGTATATCATCTTTGGAGAAACGTCTTTTCAGGTTCTTTGCCCATTTTTTTTCATTGGGTTATTTGCTTCTTTGTTTTTGAGTTGTAGGATTTCTTTATATACTCTGGATATTAACCCCTTATATATAATTTACAAGTATTTTCTCCAAAGAGTTTTTAAGATGTTTATATTTACGTTCTTGGTTGAAACTTAAAGTATTCTCTCTAAATAGTATTTTTTTTATAGACACAAGGCAAGTTATTTTAGCATCCTTTTTTGCACTAAATCTTAATTTCTCCAGATCAGCGTGATTGACACTGTAGTTCAGATAATTATTTGTTGTGAGAGTCCGCCATGTTAATTGAAGGATATTTAGTCACATCCCTGGCCTCCACCCCCTAAATGCCAATGGCACACCCCCACCCCCCACCCCCAATGTGTCAACTAAAAGTATCTCCAGCTGGGAGATAAAGGCATAGTTTAGGGAACAAAAATAGCCCTGGTTGTGAACCACTCTACTAAATTGATGATATGCACATGTTTTAAGTAGGCAGAGATTTTTAATGTTGCTGATCCCCAGTCCTGTACTATATTTCAGATTTTTGCTTAGAAGAACAAAGCCAGATTATAGCACGAGCCATTCTGCAAGGCTCACGGAAGATGTCCTTGCAGATGATCGGGATGATTATGACTACTTGATGCAAACGTCCACGGTATGAGGTTGAAGCTTTTGTCACTTATTTCTCAGTTATTGTGTGTTTCATGTCAAAGAGTTCCTTTTCATTCATCCTCTGTAGCCGACTTATTTTAAAATAAATCTTTGCTTCTATTTTGGGGACTGAAAGTTGAAGAAAATACAGGTATATTCTGAGGTGTATTATGTGGTAAGAGAAGTGTTTTAGGCAAAATAACTTTATGACATGCTTAATCCTGATTTTGCTATCATGTTTCCTGGGAAAATTTTAATTTCCACTTAATTCTTCCAAGTGCATATAATTTCCTTCATCTTAGTGATATGTCTAAAGGAAGATCATTTATCATACTTTGTTGGAGGTCATGTTTTGCTCTCTGCCAATTCATGTTTAAACCGGAGTGCCTGGCTGACTCGGTAGATGGAGCATGCCACTCTTGGTCTCAGGGTGGTGAGTTCAAGCCCCATGTTAGGTGTAGAGCCTACTTACTAAATAAATAAACATTTAAAAATTAAAAGAAAATAGGGGAACCTGGGTGGTTCGTTCAGTTAAGTGTCTGACTTTGGCTCAGGTCATGATATTGCAGTTCATGAGTTCAAGCCCCGTGTCCAGCTCTGTGCTGATAGTGCAGAGCCTGGTTGGGATTCTCCCTTCCTCTCATTCTGTGCCCCTCCCCCACTTGCATGCGTGTGCGTGCAGTCTCTCTCAAATAAATAAATAAAACTTTAAAAATAAATAAATAAACAAACAATGCTTCAAAAAACAAATTTTTCAAAACAACTTTTCATAAAACACCAAATGGGAAAAAAAATGTATAATTACATCCCTTGTAGAGTGCCACCATGTTTGAGCTAGATTTTTACATATTATGGGGCGCCTGGGTGGCGCAGTCGGTTAAGCGTCCGACTTCAGCCAGGTCACGATCTCGCGGTCCGGGAGTTCGAGCCCCGCGTCGGGCTCTGGGCTGATGGCTCAGAGCCTGGAGCCTGTTTCCGATTCTGTGTCTCCCTCTCTCTCTGCCCCTCCCCCGTTCATGCTCTGTCTCTCTCTGTCCAAAAAATAAATAAATGTTGATTTTTACATATTAGATCTGAGCTATTTCAAAGTGATTTTTTTAAATATTTATTTTGATGGAGAGAGAGAGAGATTTGGGGGGAGGGGAGGAGAGCGAGGAAGAGAGAGAATCCCAAGCATGTTCCGCGCTTTCAGCACAGAGCCCAACCTGGGGCTCAGTCTTCTGAATCATGAGATCATGACCTGAGCCGAAATCAAGAGTTGGGTGCTTAATCAACTGAGCTACACGGGCGCCCCTCAAAGTGATTTTAAGGTGTCAAAGTATTATTGATAGGAAAGGCAAAGCATATTCAAAAAGCTGGGTGACAGGTATAAAACACTAGCATAAATTAGTGTGCTTGTATAAGTTTCCAGAATTTGAAGTTTATCTGCCTGAATGGATTGGTGATTTTATTACATAAATATGCTATGTATGTGCACATACAGTTGTACCCATATTTTAGGAGTATGAAAGACCTCAAATTATTTAGTGTGTTTGCTCCGACAAGGTCATTTCTCTTCTTCCCATTATTTCTGATTTCCTTTCCATTATCTCTGCTTTAAGACTTATCTTCTTCCAGTGTCCACTCTTTGTTCTTGTTACATTTTAATTAGGCCGAATGATTTTAAACAAAGAAATGCAGTCAGGCAATTCAGAGGCATTGCGTATCAAAGTTTTGTTTCTTTTTAACTTTGCCAACATTTGATTTTGCTGTCTTGACAGTACTATTACTCAGTGAGAATCTTTCCCGGCCAAGAACCTGCTAACGTCTGGGTGGGCTGGATTACATCAGATTTCCATCAGTATGATACAGGCTTTGACTTGGACAGAGTTCGTACAGTAACCGTGACTCTAGGAGATGAAAAGGGAAAAGTACATGAAAGGTCGGTTTTTCTCAATTTTTTTTTCTTATGTGAATGATATCTGATAAACATGTTGATAAACCTAGGTGTTTTTTTTTGTTTTTTTGGGTTTTTCTCCCCCCTTGGATTTCCTGTCCAGGATCATGTTGTATTTATAGGAACAATATCATGAAACCATTCATGTCAGTGTCCGTTTTGTTATGCATACAAGCCAGTAAGGAATCTGAATACATTAAAAGTGAAAACCATTATAAAGTAAGAGCAGTGCATCCTTTGTGGGTAATAGTCTACATTCCTTCAGGTGACCTCGTACGTGACTAACAGCTTGGGTTGCCAGTACTAAGCCTTTGTTTTAGGGATTAGAGATGGGTGGATGTGAGGCTTTTATGGTCTGAAATGTATCTTTGGGAACGGTTTATGTGGTGGGGAGAAAACTGTGGAGACAGTGTGGGCTAGTAGTTTAGACCAGGTGGACACATTTTAACTAAGACTGAGGAGAAGTGGGTTCTTTCCTCAGCTTTGCCATTGACTTGCTGTGTGGCTTTGGGTAAGTCAGTTACACTTTCTGTGCCATCCTTTTTTCATTTGTAAAACAAACCAAACTCAAACCAAACCTTCAAAAAAGTGAAGAAGGCTATCTTCCTTGTGGAATAAGACAAGAGAAGATCTGGCCATTTGCATCTGTCTTTTGTGCCCATGCATCCTCTCTGATCTGCTGTGGCAGGTGTCATAGAGGGAGTCCGCCATAATGTTGCTTTTCTTATATACCTGCATCATCATTTTTGGTGACCAGAAGCTCACTCTCCTGCCTTCGGGTAGTAACACTTAAAACTGTGGAACTTAGCCCTTGAGACCATGGGCCAAGCCAGAATGTCCAGGAAAGAGTGCTTTCTTTACAACAGTATGGGAGCCCCATACCCACCTGTCTCTGGGAACATTCTTGAAGGACACATTTGATTTTCAAAGATGGCAACGGTACAAGGAAATAACCCAACAGAGGGACGGGATACCTGGATAGATGATCTTAGTGTAAGAAATAGAGGGCAGGGAAGGGTTGTTGAATGTTTTGTAAGGAGTGCAAAGAAACACAGCCAACCTGATTATTCCAAAACTGATTTTTATCTCAGTCTTCTTTTTCTTTTCCTCCTACTTGCCTGCCTTTGACTTTTTTTTTTTTTTTTTTTTTTTTTTTTTTTTGCTAGTTTCATTAACATTTTCACTCTGCTGTGGCAGAGAAAGGGAAGGAGGCAAAACTCAAGTCACTTTAGGTTTATTACCATCTCTGGGAAAGGTTTCGGTGGGGGTGAAACTCAGGTGGGGGTTTGTTGTGAACGTCAGTGATGTTATGCATATTCTAGCTAATTCTTTCTCTCATAACAGATCACCAGGAATTGTCCACAAAGGGGCATAATGTTAGCCAAATTTTAAATATGTTGAATCACTGATGGCTCAGGTAGAATTTGCCTAAGGACTTTGACAGTGTTCAGAAATGACTGCTTCTCATCTCAGAACAAGTGATTAAAAAAAAAAAAAACATGAGAATGAGGAGAATGAAAATTGCAAATTTGGATGATTATTAGTTAAACTTTTTTGAACCTCAGAACAAGGTCCAGTTTGGTTTGAGTTTTTGGAGGGGAAGGCGCAGGTCAGTTTTTACTTGTTTCCGACTTGTTGACCTGTCTCCATTAGGTGCAAAATTTAGAAACGTGTAAGACCGGATTCAGAATATCCACGACGTCAGTGGAGTTTTTGCTCCGAATCACAGAATCGGCCCATTGTGCACCTCTCCCATTACAGCATGAGCTTGTTGCTTGCACAGCATAATTTAGGTTTAGTTTGCAAGACTTTCTATTGTATCTGTGGTCGTACAAAGATAAAATTGTGTTTTGTTTTTTGTTTTTTGTGTTTTGTTTTGTTTTGTTTTGTTTTTTTTGAAATCCAGCATCAAACGCAGCAACTGCTATATGGTGTGCGCGGGTGAGAGCATGAGCCCAGGGCAAGGACGCAACAATAATGGCCTGGAGATTGGGTGTGTGGTGGATGCTGCCAGTGGGCTTCTCACGTTCACCGCCAACGGCAAGGAGCTGAGCACCTACTACCAGGTCCGTGGGCAGGGATGGTGGCGTGCTTCTGGGAAGAAAGCGTTTTGTCCCCGTGCACAAAAAGCACATTCTAGAAGATCGAAAAGTACCTTAGAAAAGAGATGAAAATGAAAACCGAAATGAGCCTAATTGGGCCTTTTTAGTTCTCTTTGTTTTGTTTTTTACTTTTTTTTTTCAACGTTTATTTATTTTTGGGACAGAGAGAGACAGAGCATGAACGGGGGAGGGGCAGAGAGAGAGAGGGAGACACAGAATCGGAAACAGGCTCCAGGCTCTGAGCCATCAGCCCAGAGCCCGACGCGGGGCTCGAACTCCCGGACCGCGAGATCGTGACCTGGCTGAAGTCGGATGCTTAACCGACTGCGCCACCCAGGCGCCCCTTTTTAGTTCTCTTTGAATAACAACATTGCCCTTCAGGGGAAACAGTACAGGCCTCCAAAAATGTTCTCGTAATAACGAAATGAAATACCCTGAATATTTGTTGAAAGAGGAGATCCATCTGAAAGAACACAAAAGTGTCTGGTGTTCCTTGGTCATTATGAAGAAAATATTTTTTCTTGGTGTTCCTTCTTTGACTAATACTTCCAAATTCATTTCTTTACCTAAGGTGGAGCCAAGTACAAAGTTATTTCCTGCAGCTTTTGCCCAAGCTACAAGTCCCAATGTTTTCCAGTTTGAGCTGGGAAGAATCAAGGTAAGAAAGATTCATTGCTGGTATTCTGTTTGGGGTCTTCCTCTTTTTTTAAACATTTTTTTGTTTTGTTTTGTTTTTCAACGTTTATTTATTTTTGGGACAGAGAGAGACAGAGCATGAACGGGGGAGGGGCAGAGAGAGAGGGAGACACAGAATCGGAAACAGGCTCCAGGCTCCAGGCTCTGAGCCATCAGCCCAGAGCCCGACGCGGGGCTCGAACTCCCGTACCGCGAGATCATGACCTGGCTGAAGTCGGACGCTTAACCGACTGCGCCACCCAGGCGCCCCTGGGGTCTTCCTCTTAGGGAATAGCAGCTACTTCTCCTTAAATAAATTCAGTATTTTTTTTAGCAGCAATGTTAGTGACAGAAGTGACTCTTTTAAAAAAAAAGGTAAGCCATGCTTGAAAGTTCTATAATTTCCTTCAGGTGGCTAGGGCCATGTTAATTTATTAGAAAGGGTTTGTGCCACAATTTAAATTACTTATTAAATATTCTGTAAGAAGAAGAACAAAAAGGCTTTCTCTTTACTCAATAAAACTAGGCTTATTTGGAACAAAAATGCCAAATAACATACCACTTGATTATCTGGAACTCACAGGTGAGCTAGTAAATGGGCTTAACGACACGAAACTGGTACATTGTGGTAAGTGCTAGAATAGTGCACATATCGAATACTCCAGGAACAAATGAAAGAACAAGGTGGAGGTTGGAGGGGGATGGATCGGGTAAAGCAAAGAGAAGAAGAGACATTTAGGTTGACTCATAACTGTTGAATAAGAGATCTCAGAATACACTTAGTAGGAGAGGACATCCTAGGCCGAGGAAGGGCAAGAGAAAGCAAAAATATTTGAGTCAAAGTGCTGAAAGTTAAAGAATTCAATATGGCTGTAACAAAAGGTGACTTCCAGGATGTGGCTGGAGATTAACATTGATAGAAGGTAGACTGAAGCCAACCTGGAAAGGCCATGAATGCCTCTCTAAGAGGTTGGTACCTACTGTATAGGCAGTGTTGATCCCATTGGAAACTCGAAGCTGGGGACTGAGCAGAAGCAAACCTGTTTTGGAAAAATACATTGGCAGTAATGTGGAGGTGGCAATGTGGAGAAGTATCCATTCTCACAAGAATGAGAAGAGGCAGTAGTGCTGAGTTATTGATGATTTGATGCCATCCGCATGGGAGATGATGAGAGCCTGAGAAGTCATGTTGGAGAGAGAGAGGGGTAAATGAGAAGATGTTTTAGAGGATAAATGAATAGAATTTGACAGTGAATTGGACAGATAGTATTCGTTGATGTATTGGATTCAGGTACTCAAGGAGAATGAAGAATCAAGGATTAAATTAATTTTTTGAGTTTGGACAAACTAAGGGATGCTAAGACAACAAGCGGAAGAGCTTGTTGAAATTCAGGAAAAGGAACTGAATTGAATTTTGCTGTTGTACAAGTTGAGATGCCAGGTGCACGTCGGGGTGGAGTGCGGTGTGAGGTTTTACAGTGCTGGCTCGGTGACTTTGGACATGCTCCTTAAACTGTGTGAGCTAAATGTCTACCTTTGTAAAATGAGATGCTCAGCAGCCACAGAAAGGCAAACATAATATGGATGAAAGGAATCCATGACTCCTGTTGGTTAGGAGGGCTTCTGACCTTGCCAGTAGAATTTGGGCAAAATGATGGACGAAGCTATACTATAGTGAATTCAAGGTTGAAAATTAGAGAAAGACAGCAAATTTGGATGAATAAACATATAGACAGAAAGATCAATTGATCGATTGATCTGGCCTCCAGCTCTTCCTCAGACTTGCCAGGCAGACTTCCTCCTTGGGTCCTTTGCATTGACTGTCCCTTCTGCATGGAAGGGACGTCACCTTCTCAGCCGTACCCATTATGATCATCCTCCTTATTATTGCTGCCCTGCATTCTGCTTCCTCTATCCTGGGTCCCCACCATGACCTCTTGTGTCATAGGCTATTTAATTTGCTTTTTGACTTTGTCTATTTTATGTTTCCAGTTAAAAAAAAAAAAAATGGAAGCTGGATGAGAGGAGGGGTTTTGTGTGTTTTGTTCACTCAGGGCCCAAAGCAGTATCTGGCTTTCCTCCCCGCCCTCTCCGTTATCAGAAAAGAATAGGAAGGTAGCTGGAGGATGAGATAGTCTGAAAGGACGCAGCAGACAAGACTTTATGGGAGAGGGAGACACTGAAGGTAATGGGACAGGTGAGATCGTTGTTTCCATATGGCCCATGACGGGCAGGTGGAGGGGGTGTCAGGGTCATGAGTGAATGAATAAGCTTCGGCCAAGTAGAGACCTGTGTTGCCCTGAGACCAGACTGAAGGCGCTAAGAAGGCTGAAGGTGATCCATACTGAAGCTGGAGCAGGGTGAAGAACAATTAGATTGTGTTAATGTCTGATGAACTCTGTTGTCTTGTGTGATGGTGCTGTTTGTCTGTTGAGCTGTCTCCGGTGTAGAACTGGCTGCTGAAACCTGACAAACCTGACTTGTAGGTGAGGGAGCCAGTGAGTGAGCACTTGAAGGATAAGGTGGGCGACAGAGGACAGACCAGGAGAGAGAGCCAAGTGCGTGCAACCCTTCCTGGAGTTTGGTACCGCAGACAGCCACAGGCTTGCCAGATTTGGTGAGGGCCCAGCTTGGTAAAAAAAAAATACGCAGATTACGTGGTTCCACTTGGTTGTGTACGCTGCATTCTCAGCGTACCAGGGAGTGTTTGCAAAAGAAATCTAGCTCCCCAAGCCTGTTTGCCAGCCCTGAAATTTTAGGTGTGTTTTCTCAGGATGTTTTCGCCTCTTGACATTTCAGGAGCCATTCATCCCAAGTTCTGTTATTTCTTGTATTAATGTTGCTGGACACAGAGGGTATCTCGCTTCCAGGATCTCTTTCCTGTGCAGAACTGTGGTCATTACGTTATTAACCCCACGGATTGTTACAAATTAGTTCTTTTTCTGCTCCCTAGAATGTGATGCCTCTCTCCGCGGGATTATTCAAGAGTGAGCACAAAAACCCTGTGCCCCAGTGTCCCCCGCGTCTCCACGTGCAGTTTCTGTCCCACGTCCTGTGGAGCAGAATGCCCAACCAGTTCCTGAAGGTAGATGTGTCTCGAATAAGTGAGCGCCAAGGCTGGCTGGTGCAGTGTTTGGATCCTCTGCAGTTCATGTCTCTCCATATCCCGGAGGAGAACAGGTCAGCCCTGTGTGCCCTTTACCGTCTGATTAGGGCCCTTTGAATTAGACCATTGGTGTGCTGCTGGGGAAAGAAAATGAAGCTTAAAAATATCTTATTTCTGGGGTGCCTGGGTGGCTCAGTCGGTGAAATGTCCCACTTCAGCTCAGGTCATGATCTCCTGGTTCGTGAGTTCGAGCCCCGCATCAGGCTGTGTGCTGACAGCTCAAAGCCTGGAGCCTGCTTTAGATTCTGTGTGTCCCTCTCTCTCTACCCCTTCCCTACTCATGCTCTTTCTCTCTCTCTTCCTCAAAAATAAATAAACATTAAATAAATAAGTAAATAAATAAACTTTCACTATATTTCATGAAGAGTTTGAGTCATTTTCCCAAAATGTATGAAATACAATTGCACAAAAAAGAGTCACTAGAACCAGATATGCAGGCAAGGTGAGGACAGGAAAATAACAAAGCCCAGGGTGAGACTGGCACGGGGTCACTCACACCACATCGTTCTGTTGTGGTTGGTAAAGTCCCACAGTGGCTTCAGGCTTCCTAGAAGCCAAAGAAAAATCTGATGAGTTTCCAAATTCAGAATAACAAAGGGATGTGCCAACTAGTGGCTGAGTAGAAGCTTTTTCTCATGCCCCAATACATGGCCAATAATTAATACTTAACAATTTGGGATGGCACTACAAATATGCTAGTTCTCTGGTTCCTTCGTGACACATATCACTGTTCATAATTTACGTACTTTTTGGTTAAGATTTCCCTCCTCAGCTAGATGGTCAGCTCCCTTAGGGCAGGAATTGTGTCGATGTTGTTCACCATCGTATCACCAGTGCACAGTGCTTCATCCATAGTAGACCCTCTGTGTAATATTTGATGTATAAAATAATGATATTGACTTATGAAAAATATTTCTCCATTGAGGACTGTTAAAGAGTGTAAGGTATTATATTAGCTTTTAATGCAATAACAACCCCACGTCTCAGTGGCTTGTGAACAGACGTGAATCTTTTGCTCACGTTACGTGAGGTTGTTAGTCCGCTGTAGCTCTGCTCCAGGCTGTGGTGGGCTATGAGTGCAGACTTCCTCCTTCTTACCCTGAGACCCAAATTGATGGGGCAGCTCTGATCTGGGACATACAGTTTCCACAGCCAATGGTGGATGTACAGGAGGGTTAACAGACACTTCAGGTCTCTTAGAACTTCTTTTTGCTTGTGGCAGATGTTACATTCACTCACATTTTATTTTATTTATTTTATTTATGACTTGCCTAAGCAAGTCATATAGTCAAGCCCAAGCTAAGTAGGGCAGATCAGACTACCTCATATACAGGACAGACGGAAGAAGAGGGAGAATATTTACCAACGACAGTATGGCGTGTGCTAAGGAGGTGTTATATTTTATATTTAAACGGATAAAATAATGTCCTTGTAACAGATAGAATAACAAGTTATTTCTTTTGCTATCCTCCCAAGTAAATCCATAGCTTATTAAAGTATGAATATTGCTATAAGGAGTTGGTGTGGAAAGACAGATTAAAGTAGTTGAGGTATATGCTTTGGTTTGCCCTGACCTAAGTGTAGAGTCGTGAGATGGAGACTATAGATCCTTCCAGAATTCTCTTATTCATTCATTCCAGACATATATTAGTTCTCATTGTGTCCCTGGCATTGGATACTAAATGGTGTACAAAACAGATGGGACCCTTACCTTAAAAGATTTCATGGTCTAGTCGGGAAGAGAGGTGCTTTAAAGGAAGTAACAGGGTGCCCTAAAGTGAATAATAGGAGGTGGGTTGGAAGGGGCAGTAGCTAATGTAAATTGTGGAGTCCTTAGTTGTTTTTTCTAGAAACTGGCAGTCTGAGAGGAATTAGATGGTAGGCTAAGTTGTGTTCTTCACTAAGAAGGTAGAATGCAGAGGTTCTGTGTTGCTACGGTGACCAGGTTTATATATTTTGACCATCAGCCCGGTTCATAGTCTTCTTGAGAGCCTGGAGAGCCTAGGTAAGACATGAGAATCATTGTCCGCTATACTTTGAGAGAGAAGGCCTGCTCAGTTATACCTTCCCAAGAATTGGGTGCTAGCAGCCGGGCCCCACAGTTGTGTGGTTTCCCGGAGGCCTAGGTGAGTCATCATTTGCTTTTAGTTTCCGACTCGGAATGCTTCTGATGCTGAGATTTGGGCGGTAGGGTCTGGAATAATTTTGCACCATCAAGCCACAGTGGCTTTTCATAGAATACCTGTGACCCGGGAAGCATAGACACAGTGGATGGGCATGGACAGGATGATCGAGTATGAAGGATGGTGACAGAGCTTAACAACAAATAATCACAAGTAATTACTCAGCTTCTACTGTGTATGAGGTTAACTGCTAGACAAATGTTAATGAAGTCATATAATAACCCGTGTTCTGATGAGTTTATATTATAGTCTCACCAAGGACACTTTTCTAGATGAATGAGTCATTCCTTTTATTGTGAATATATCAAGTTTCTACTTTTAATTCTACAGTGTCACCCATGAGCAATCTTAATAAATTTAAATAGTGTAGAAACATTAGCACATCGAAAGGAATTATGTCCTCTTAAAATTGACTTCATTTTGAAAGGAATGGCTTCACTTTAGGCATATTCTGGCCATTTTAAGTTTTTTATGGGTTGGAAGGGCATGATACATTCTAGAAGCAAAATGGCCCAGCGTAGACTCAGCGTCCCAGTAGAAACTTTGCTACGCAAAATATCACAAATAGTATTTTTTTTTTTCACAAGCCATACATTCCCGATGGAAACCAGGGCTGCACTGGTCTAAGTCTGGGGCCGTGAGGGATGTGTAAGAAGGTACATCACTTCAGAAGCATTAGTCCTCCATTCTCTTACTTCCGACTGGTCAGGCGAATCACTAATCATAGGTCAGAGACAGGGACAACTTAGCCTAAGGAAAAGGTCTCTGGCTTTCTGGGGCAGCTTAGCCAAGTTGGAAAAGGAGATTCAAGATTTTCTAAGGAGTGCTCACATTCTGAAAGGAAAGGAGACACGGGTGCAGATCAAGACTCAGTGTCTACAAGAGGTGCCCCAAACCTGAGGGTGATTGATGGAGGATGAAGCAGCTTCAACCACTAGTGGTTAGAAATTTCCCACGTAAAATTGCATATGGAGGAAAACTTGTAAAATACCTAGTACTGACGGAGAAAAAAAAAATACACCATCATGAAACCTGTCATAGATAATCGGGAACAAAAATATGTTTCCTTAACTTTTTGAAATTTATGAGGTACCTAGATCTCTCCTGTGATGTAGAGTTTTTAGAACTTTTCCCCACCTGACCTTGCTACCACTCTCCTCCTTTGTACAGATCTGTTGACATACTGGAGCTGACAGAGCAGGAAGAGCTGCTGAAATTCCACTACCACACGCTCCGGCTTTACTCCGCCGTCTGCGCCCTCGGGAACCACCGGGTGGCGCATGCGTTGTGCAGCCACGTGGACGAACCCCAGCTGCTCTACGCCATCGAGAACAAGTACATGCCCGGTTTGCTGCGGGCCGGCTACTATGACCTGCTGATTGACATCCACCTGAGCTCCTACGCCACTGCCAGGCTCATGATGAACAGTGAGTTCATCGTGCCCATGACGGAGGAGACCAAGAGCATCACCCTCTTCCCTGATGAGAACAAAAAGCATGGCCTCCCAGGGATTGGCCTCAGCACCTCCCTCAGGCCACGGATACAGTTTTCCTCCCCCAGTTTTGTGAGCATCAATAACGACTGCTACCAATACAGTCCAGAGTTCCCGCTGGACATCCTGAAGGCCAAAACCATTCAGATGCTGACAGAAGCTGTTAAAGAGGGCAGCCTGCATGCCCGGGACCCCGTGGGGGGCACCACTGAATTTCTCTTTGTACCTCTCATCAAGCTCTTCTATACTCTGCTCATCATGGGGATCTTCCACAATGAGGACTTAAAACACATCTTGCAGCTGATAGAGCCCAGTGTGTTCAAGGAAGCCGCCACTCCGGAAGAAGACACTGAGGCTCTGGAGAAAGAGCCCTCCATGGAAGACTCCAAGCCAGAAGGAGCTGGAGAAGAAGAAGCCAAAGGGGGTAAGAGGCCCAAGGAAGGACTGCTCCAAATGAAACTGCCTGAGCCAGTTAAATTGCAGGTAATCAGAAAACAAAACAAAATGAAAAAACAAACAACAACAACAAAATTTTTTTTAGTGAATTTCAGGGTCACTAACTATTACGGTATTGATATTTGCCTTTGTCTCTTTTCCTCTTGGTGGTGGGGGAGGGGTGTGTGTGTATTTTTGTGTTCGTGTATAATGATCGTTTTTCATAAAATTAACCAACTTCCTGTTGTGTTTTGGGATGTGCCAGTGTAATTTTCTTGCATTTAGAATGGAATTCATGAACGGGGCGCCTGGGTGTCTCAGTCAGTTAAGCGTCCGACTTCAGCTCAGGTCATAATCTCATGGTTTGTGGGTTCCAGCCCCGCACTGGGCTCTATGCTGACATCTCAGAGCCTGGAGCCTGCTTTGGATTCTGTGTCTCGCTCTCTGTCTCTGTCTCTCTCTCTCTCAAAAATAAATAAGCATTAAAAAACATTAGAATGGAATTCATGAATTTTCCAATGGTGTCAGTTGACAATAGTTGATAAGAAATACATTTAGTGATTTGGGTGTGTGTGTCTAGTACTTTTTCTCCTCCTCTTCATTAGCAATTTCTCTTTTATTTCTGCAGATGCATTCCACCAACTGTTTGTTGGAACACCTGAAACAGAAGGGACCCCTTACCCCCTTCCTCCCCTGCCCCCACTCTCACTAGCCATAGAAACACTTTGTTACCAGTAGGTGTGCCCATTCTCACACAGCAAGATTTTGCTTCCTGCATGTATGTTTCTCAGGAATTAAAGACATTGCCTGTTTCTTGTGCTTATCAAGATGTCTCAAAGATCCTTTCTTAACATGTCTTCAGTCCGTAAGAGTCCATTTGATGTTTGCATCATTGACAGGCTCTTTTACTTTTCAGTCCTCAGTCAGCATTGATTGAGGTCTTCCTTTGAGCCAGACGTGTGGTTCTGGGTGGAGGAAAAATTTGCCAGCTGTACCTTCCAGACATTCACAGTCTCTAAGGGAAATATACATGTATTTATCTATTTCTGTTAAAATATTTTATTGATAATTGCATTAAATGATCTGAAGGAAAAGAATGAATTACAAGAAAAAAGAAAATCTCAACTGGATTACCGTGAGAAAGGTGAGGGAGTCCTCTGTGAGATGGTGACTTTTAATTGGAGTTCAGATGGATGAGGTGGAGTCCAGTAGATGTAGAGAAGGAGTAGGAAGAGTGTTCTAGGAGCTTTTAGCACAGAGAACAACAAAGGTTCTGAGGCAGAAAAAAGCCATTTAACCTAATTAGCTAAGGAAAGAGGGTGAGATAGGCAGGAGGCAGGTAACATAGAATCCAGGCATTTGACAGACTTTAGATGTTATTTGGAGTTCATTTAAAACCATTAAATAATTTTAACTTTCTTTAATGTTTATTTTGAGAGAGAGAGAGAGACAGAGCATGAGCAGGGGAGGGGCAGAGAGAGAGGGAGACACAGAATCAGAAACAGGCTCCAGGCTCTGAGCCGTCAGCACAGAGCCCGATGCTGGGCTTGAACGCGCGAGGGAGATCATGACCTGAGCTGAAGTTGAATGCTCAACCGACTGAGCTACCCAGGCGGCCCAACCATTGAATAATTTTAACAAGGGAATTTGATTCTAAAAATTTAATTGTAGCTGCTGTGATGAAAACTGATAAGGAGAAGAGCTAGTCCTCCAGAGTCCACTCAGTCGAGAGGCTGTCACGCTGGTCCAGACCCAAGGGGACGGGGCTTGCACTGGGGTGGGGTGAAGGAGATGAAGAGGGGAGTGGGTGCTAGGGCTACGTCAGAGCTGGCATTGGCAGAAATGTCCCTGTTGTGGTTTTAAAGTTCCTTTTAACACTGCTTTGTATTTATATCACAGTTGGTATTAAGTATATTTAAATGCTTTCTGAAGCAGTGTGGAGGTTCCTCAGAAAATTAAAAATAGACCTACCCTATGACCCAGCAATAGCACTGCTAGGAATTTATCCAAGGGACACAGGAGTACTGATGCATAGGGGCACTTGTACCCCAATGTTCATAGCAGCACTCTCAACAATAGCCAAATTATGGAAAGAGCCTAAATGTCCATCAACTGATGAATGGATAAAGAAATTGTGGTTTATATACACAATGGAATACTACGTGGCAATGAGAAAAAATGAACTATGGCCTTTTGTAGCAACGTGGATGGAACTGGAGAGTGTGATGCTAAGTGAAATAAGCCATACAGAGAAAGAGAGATACCATATGGTTTCACTCTTAGGTGGATCCTGAGAAACTTAACAGGAACCCATGGGGGAGGGGAAGGAAAAAAAAAAAAGAGGTTAGAGTGGGAG